CAGTAATTGCTGCAAAAGGGGCCCAAACCAAGTACTGAGTACATATGCATGCTTGTACTTTTCAGAGGTCCGATATTGTTCTATGTACAATCCTTGTTTTATTGATTGCATGTAATATTCTAATTTTCTGAGATTGTGGATTTGGGGTTTTCATGAGCTGTAAGCCATAATCATCACAATTATGACAAATCACGGCTTGAATTATCTTGCTTTGCATGTAATGAGTCTATCTCGTATATTAGTTTCACCTTTTAAGTTGCATTAGTGAAATAAATGAACTTTGCACGATATTCTAATTAATTGAGTTTCACCTGTAATGTACGCCTAACTTAACCCCAATGCCCAACCTTATCGCTGCACTTCAGAGGGGTATTATAAACAAAAAACATTAATGTAGTTATAAAGTCATCAAATACATGAAATGTATTTTCAAATTAGTGAAAGCTTGTCCTTGTATCATCCTTCTTTAATCGCATGTGGGGATCATAATGTGGAATGTCCACCACTATTAGCCAATCTGGTTCTGTTGCAGTACAAATGTGATGTGCTAAAAGGAGGCAAGCAGCATTTTTTTTCACCATTTGTACCTTTGTCAATTGTAGACAAGGTTTTTGGTTTCATGAGATCACAGCATCTTTTTTTGACGTCTTCCTCTTGTGAACGTGTAAGCAATATCATGCCATCCCCTGTGGTTAGTGTGGGGTTTTTTTTGGTGCAAATCTAATCGTGCAGCAAGATAACAATACAAATCACACTTCTGTCATATTAAAAACCTCTTTGGTTAGTATATTAGTGATATTAGAATATAGGCTTTAATGGACTGGTCAGTACAATCAGCAGATCTCAAACATGTTATGCTCCTGTGGGAAGAACTGAACAACTAAGGACAGCGAAAAATGACATACAAGCTAGTTACATCTGGAATAACATGTGGAATAACATTTCCAATAAGTACGTTCAGAAACTGACAAATAGAATTCCAAAGGTATGCAAAGTTGTAATCTCTGCAAATAGAGGATCCTTTGACAAATGGTGATGAATACAACAGGTATATAAAAAAAAAAGTGTG